ATATAAAAGTCATTATTGGTGCAGCATTCTGTGACCTGTTCCTTTGACTGCAGTCATTAACCTCTCTCAAAGCTTCCTCCCACGACACATTTGTACAATGCTCAGACTCCTCTGGCATTTATGAAGCTCAAAAAAACCAAATTTTTCAACAGAAATCCAGCTCGGGAATAAAGAAAACTTATTAATTGCCTCTAAATGACTTTTTAAATGCCTTCACTTTGGATTTCTACAGCTCTTCACTCCCAGCAGAACATCAGGAAATACCCAAGGGAACCACAYGAAGTTGTGTGACTTTCTAACCCAAAACAGTTTCTAAAGTTCTGTTTGGGCAAATTCTCTCTCCTGTCGCAATTTAAAACACACCTTGGAACTTTTAGACACTGCCAAACCCCTGCAGTGATGTAAGTGAGCAGGAATACTGTGGGAAGAGGAAGATTTTCTTGTTCACTGACATGAAATCACACGTCTAGACATAATTATGCATTGTTTGAACAAGCCAGCTGAATTAAGGACATTGAAACTTCTCCAGAAATCGCCATCTTTCCTAAAACAAAAGATTTTTCACCCAAAGCTGAAAGTGGGTTTATTTTGTTCTCCTTTCCCCGCCACTACATGGAAATAATTTGTGCATTAAAATGTCCTGAAATAATTTTTGAAATGCAAACGTTGCCATCTTTCATAAAAAGCTGAAGGTGAGATTGTTTTTTCTGCTTTCCCCCATGAGTGAAAATAATTTGTCTCTTAATGAGACCTGAAATAATTTTTTCTGGTTTTATGTAACTAAAAAAAGTGACTCTAGGAAGTGCCCCTTGAAAAAGGATTTATCTTTGCTTAGGGTGCTAAGGTTTGTGCTGAAGGAAAGTTTTGCCACCTGTTCATGAATTTTGTCATCTATTTACATATTTATGGATAATTCATCCATAATTCACTTAAATCAGAGAATTAAGGGGCCCATGGATTGTACTGAAGGAAGTTTTGTCATCTATTTATGAATTTTGTAATCTACTTATGAATTTTGCAATCTATTTATGTATTTACGGATAATTAATCAATAAGTCACTTGGATTCCTCTTTGCTTAGGGAGTTAAGGGGTCCATGGTTTGTTCTAAAAGAAGTTTTTACCATCTACTTATGAATTTTATTCATTTATCATGAATTTATGTATTTATGGATAATTAATCCATAAGTCGCTTAACTCAGTGAGTTAAGAGGTGCATGGTTTGTGCTGAAGGAAGGTTTTGCCATCTATTTATGAATTTTTTCATCCATTTATGAATTTTTCCATCTGTTTATGAGTTTTGCCATTTATTTATGTATTTATAGATAATTAGCCCATAAGTCACTTAAATCAGTGAGTTGAGGGGTCCATGGTTTGTGCTGAAGGAAGGYTTTGCCATCTATTTCTGAACTTTTCTGTCTATTTATGTATTTAGGATGATTAATCCATAAGTCATTTGGATTCCTCTTTGCTCAGGGAGTTGAGGGGTCCATGATTTGTGCTGAAGGAAGGTTTTGCCATCTATTTATGGATTTTTCCATCTATTTATGAATTTTTCTGTCTATTTATGAATTTTCCCACCTATKTCTGTATTTATGGATAATTCCTCCATAAACAGCCCGAACAGACACATCCCAAGGTGGGAAAGCCGGCACATTCCCGGCCAATAAACTGAATTTGGGAGTGTTTGCACAAAGCAATAAAGACCTGCCAGTCCAAATAAAACAAAACCTCAAATCTCAAAGCTCAGATTACCGAGAGAAACCTTCTCCACGCATCAAAAATCGATATTGGGATCAATATTGGGATCCCAATTCCCAAATCTGGGCGAGCTCTGGCACGCTGGGCTCCAGCTGGATGGGATCCAACCCTTCTCCGTGCTGGCATTTGTTCCGAGGGAGGCAGGGAAAGGAGGGAGAACTCGGGTTAAATATAACTCGGTAGCTCCAGCAGAAACTCCGCCGGAGGAGCCGAGCGGGCGGGATCCGCCTGTTGAATCAGAGCCTCCGCTTTTAGCACGGGAAAGGCTAAAAGGGAACGGGGGAAACGGGCTGGAATATGGGAAAGCAGCTCTGTTTACGGGCCTGTATCAGCAGGGAAAACATGTCGGGATTAAACGTGGCAGCTGTCGGTGCTCCGAGGTGTTACAAGCGGGGGACTATTTAAAGACAATGACTGGCGCCGTCTATTTTGCAGTGTTTGTGGCGGCCCTGAAGTTATTTTGTGACAAAAGTGGCTTTTGGTGGTAGGGAATGCTCGGAGCTGGAGAATTTCTACCCAAAACAAGGATATATGACAGCAGCTGATGTCATTAGAGGTGCTGGGTGCTCAGTGAKTGCAGAATCCCAGAACAGGTTGGGTTGGGAAGGAGYTGAAATCCCATCCAGTGYCACCCCCTGMCATRGGCTGGGACACTTTCCACCAGCTCAGGGTGCTCCAGACCCCATCCTGGACATTTTTAGGATGAATTTGATCGTGTTTACACAAACAAAATGACACAGAAAATGTATTTATGGCRTACCTTCAAATACCTAACGCACGATTTAACAGCGACTCTCTCTAGGCCACATCCTTAAATCTTGGATCAGTGACCCCATTCCTCCCTCCCAGCCTGGCTCTGGGGCTCAACAGGACATGTGGTGCCGTGCCAAGACCCTTGATGAACGAGGAGCCTCCATTTATAGGCCAAATCTACACATTTATAAGGCAATCCTACAAATTTATATGGCAATCCTACAAATTTATATGGCAATCCTACAAACTTATATGGCAATCCTACAAATTTATACAGCAAACATGCTCTGAGAGGGCAGATCTGATGCTAAAGGAGAAGAAACTGCTGCTGGCCGTGTCACCTGCAGGTCTCTCCCCTTTCCTGGTGCTTTTGGAGGATTTAGGGAACAGAGCTGGCAAACTGCCCCAGGATAGGGACGCCTGGGAGAGGAATTCATGAGATGCAAATGGCTCAGCAGGGAGATGCAAAGCAGGGACGGTCTGTGGGAGTCCCCGTGGGGGCTGAGGGACCTGGCTCTGGCTTCTCTCTGCGGCAGAGATGCTCCTATCGCCATCCCCGAGCGCGTTGGGATCGTTCCTGTTTTGCAGGAAACAAGCAGGGACAAAGAAATTCCAGCTGTCAACCCTTTCTGTCTGCACTTTCAGCCTTCAGGCCAAGATCCTGTTGTTACCTGAGAACCCAAATTCCAGTTAAAAACCGTTTTCAAACCTCACAGTCTGAGAACACGAACTCCAACTGTTTAAAACAACAAAGCCCCAAAGCTGTGTAACTCCAAGACAAATGCAACACATTCCACAGAATTCCAACACATCTTCATCCCTTGGGACAGTGACACGGAGAAGTAAAGACCCAGCTGGCTGTGTTGTACTTTTTTAAAACATAAATTAAAATTTTTAGGTATCCAACACCCCATAAGTGGGTCCTACAAAGTCCTACCAGGTCCTGCTTTGAGGGTTTTGCCTCACCTGACTCCAGTCATTGAGAAATCAAACTTTGCTCATCCCAAACTCTCAGCAAATACAGTCAGAGGTTGATTCAACCCATCTTGAACCATGAAAGAACTTCCCAAAATGCCTTCCCTTCCACAGACCAGCTTCTGCTAAATGTRCCACTTTAAAATAAAACCTGAGACAGAAATGATCCTAAACCGACTGAAACAAAGTCAGACTGAAAAGTGAAACAGCAGAGGTGGAGAAGGAAGCCCAGGAACTTAAGATCGGTATTTTGAGACTGATTTTTTTTTCCTTTTTTTGTTTTTTTCTAAGTCAGACGTTACTCTCTATTCTCAAATGATTTGTAACAAAGATAAGAGTTGAAAAGTTTGGGCAGAAGCAGATGAAAAAAGCCTCGACTAAATGATTCCAAAGCTGAGCTCTCAGTTAAACTCCGAGTTTAAGGACATTCCAAAAACAAAAAGGAACAATAGATTTAATAATATTTAATGCAATAATTATTTATTCCGCTCTTTAATTAGAAAGTCTCGCCTCTTTCAACAGCAAAACCAAAACAGAGGCTTTGGAGCGCTATCTAAGTCAAAAGAATGGAAAGATTTAATCAGGCAGCGGGAACTCACGCTTGAAACAGGCACGTCCACAAAATCCCACTCTAACAGGAGATGAATCTTGTTTCACAACACACTTTATTCAAAACAAACAGCAGAAACCACGTCAAGAACAGAMTGTAGATGCTTGCAAATAGGTCTCGCTGCGATTTTCCCCTCGTTTCTAAGACCGACACGAAAGCGARCGCCGGGAGCTCCGAGCTCTGGCAAACTCCAGGGATGAGCTGGAGTTGAAACCACCTCCCTCCACCCCCGAAGAGGAGGAGGAGCGCTCGGGGTGGGGGGAACGGGGACAGCGCGGGGAGAGGGACGGGGACAGCGCGGGGAGAGGGGAGAGCGCGGAGAGACGGACGGGGAGAGCGCGGAGAAGGGGACGGGGACAGCACAGAACGGGGCACGGGGAAAGCACAGAGCGGTGCCGGCTCCGAACCCAGCGGAGCCGCTGCTCTGTGCCCCCTCCCCACCCTGACCGGACACTTCGGGGCTCGCACGCCCCAGGAGCCGGGTGGGACCCCCCGGCAGCGCCGCGTCCCTGCCGCCCGCGGAGCCGGGAGCGCGGAGTTCCGGGAAGCCCCGCGCCGGAGCCGCGCCCCCCCGCCGGCCGGGCGGTGTCGGTTCCCGTGCCCGGGCGGGGCCGCGTTCCGGGCGGTGCCCCGGGCCAGCAGCACCCGGCCCGGGGCGGGGAGCCCGGAGCGGTTCCGCGGTGTCGCCTCCGCCGCTCCCCCGCTCCTAACTTTCCGGGGGCGGCGCGCCCGGCGCCCCCCGCCCCGGGACCGCGCATCCCACGCCGGGACAAGCGGGGTCCGCGCTGCCGGCCCGCGCCCGCACCGGCCCCGCGGAGAACGCGGAGAACGCGCACATCCCCTGCACTGTGCACCCCCGGCCGCGCTCCCACATCCAGCCCGTCACGGGGCGGCCCCGCTCACCTGCTGTCCCCGCCGGGTGCCGCGGGCTGCGCTGGGCTCCGGCCGCCGGGGCCGCGCGTTGCCGCCGTTGGCAAGTAACAGTCTCCAGGGCTACGGTCACTATGGCGCCGGGCGCCGGGTCTCGAGGCAACTGTTGCTACCCCRGCCCCGCGCGTCACCGCCCGGCCCCGCCCCGCTGGGGGCGTGCCCAGCGCTTCTCCGTATCCCATTGGTGGAACACCTGTCCGTCAAATGAGAAGGCGGGACGCGACGCGGGACAGCCAATGGTGCGGCGGAGGGGGCGTGGCCAGCAGTTGGCGCGCGGTTTGGCGCCTCGGCGCGGGGCGGGGCGGGCGCGTGACGCGCGCGCGCGCGGCTGTGAGGGGAAAGGAAGGGGGGGGGGCGGCGCCTCGATGATTTCACCTCAATAAATCAACCGGGGAAAGGAAAAAAAAAAAAAAAAAGATGATTTTCCCGCTGTTAAACATTACTAAGCGGCGGGCTGGCGGTACCTCCGGTTGCCGCTGGGGTTTTTTTTTGGTTTTTTTTTTTACCCCCCCCCACATGACATCAAGCCGTTGTCATGGCGGCGGGGCGTGATGTCACTGACAACAAGGCGGTGAGGAAAAAGGGGCGTTTGGTGGATGAGGGGAGAAGCGGCAGCGTCGCCCCGTGACACAAAATCATCGTCTAAGGACAAATGGAGCGAGTCCAGCGCTGGGACTACGACAAAAGGACAGGAGCTGCAGGAGAGGGGCYRGAGGAGGCYGTGGAGWTRCTCCAGGRTTAGAGCCCCTCTGCTCTGGGGCCAGGCTGGGAGARCTGGGGGTGCTCACCTGGACAGGAGAAGGATCCAGGRAGAGCTCAGAGMCCCTTTTGGGGCCTGAAGSGGCTCCAGGAGAGCTGGAGAGGGACTGGGGCCAAGGGCTGGAGGGACAGGACACAGGGAATGGCTTSCCAGTGCCAGAGGGCAGGGATGGATGGGATATTGGGAAGGAATTGTTCCCTGGGAGGGTGGAGAAGCCATGAAATGGAATTCCCAGAGCAGCTGTGGSTKCCCCTGRATCTCTGGAAGTGTCCAWGGCMAGGTTGGATGGTGYTCTGCTCGCCACATCCTGTCCTGTYTTATTTTGTCAATGAAACCCAACATGGGCTCCAAGCCACTCTCATGTTTTTTGAATGCAGGTGCTGCCAAGGAAAGCAGCGTTTTTTTATAAAGCTTTACAAAATATCTCTGTTTGTTGGGGTTTTTAGGGTTTTTCCCCTACAGTTAAACTCAGAAGAATCACCACCGATTCCTCTGAAAAATCCCCATCAGGAATTTCACAATTTCCAGGATCACCTCAYTGACATGCAATAAAAAAAGCTTTTATGATGTATTTTTTTTCTGCAACGTTTTCTGAAAAGTATGTCCCAGCTTCAGCCAAGGAAGTGTGTGGAATTTGTACCCATGGAGACTCCAATAACACAGCGACTCCAAACACCACAGGATTATTACTTTCCTTACCTAACACTTCGGGAAAGGAGTTACTGGGAAAGGAAGTGACTGAGTGAGGTGATACAAACTGGAGACACTGGTTAGCATGTGATCCATCTGCAGATTTGCTGTTCCTGCTTTTGAGAGATTACCATGAGAATTACACTGGAAATATTCATGGAGCTGTCTGCCTGACCCCCATGGACAYGTGAGAAGCGCCAAAGAAAAATAACTTGAATTTTTAATGTGTTGGAGATGCTTGGGCCATGGATATTTAAAAAKAACAACTTTTAGGTGAGGGGAAGCRYAGTGAAATAGAAAATAGAGATGAAATAGGTTTTAAAAAGTCATCTAGTATACATAAACACCCGCCTTTACCCCTGGAAACTGAGACCAGATTATATATAATTTACCTTAAATACATATATTATAAGTATAATAAGTATACATATAATATATATAACATATATATTAATAGATATATATGATATAATTTACCTTAAAAACTCCTTCTGATCTGTCTGAAGGTTGWTGTCATTCCTTCCCTCAATCTCTTGTTTTACAAATTAAGCAATCCTCTGGTTTTACTGCTAGAAAAATCCAGGCCTTTCCTACAAACCACTCTATAAACAGCAATTTTTTAATCTGTGGTCACTTTTTCCTGCTTGAGCACCATGCCTTGGGTTCAGCCACACTAAATTGCACCATGCTGATTCTGAATTATCACTCAAATTTACCAAGAGCTGAATTAAATCCCTGAGTCCTCCCCCCTTTAGAATCAGCTCCAATGTGTAGTTGCTGCCCTGTTCCCACTTTCATTTTTAGGGCACAATTCCCCARTGAACAGCATCCATTTTTCTGGAAAAGAAATGTAAAACACATTTGAATGTGCTCCTGTCCTTCCCAAAGTGTCAATTCTGGTGTAAAACCCAAAGCACAGGTGGTTGCTGACAACAACACCCTGAAATTCACGGAATCCCAAAGTCATTAGGGCTGGAAAAGCCCTCTGAGATCACCAAATCCACAGTCAATCCTCAGCCAGCCACCAACCGTGTCCCCAAGTGCCACAGCCACGTATTTTGGACACTTGATAATGCTTGAAAATTCTTGATAATGCCCAGCTCAACACCTTTGAGAGAAAACCCTGCAGCTCGTGGGAGTCAGGCAGTTCCCTGCTGGGATCCCAAGGAATCACCACAGCGCTGTTATTTTTATTTAGGGACTTGTCTGTCACCTCTCATGCTGAGCTGATCGTTGGGATTAAATTTTATTTCGTTTCTTCCAGCCTGTTCATCTCATTCCTGTCACGCAGCACCAGGGTTTGGGAGAAGGAGGTTCTTTTAGAAAAGTCGCTGGTAAAGAAAGAAAAAAGTTGGATTTTTCTCCCGGAGGAGCAGTTTGCTGCAGCTGTCTCTGCTACCCACAGGAGGGCATGTTCCTCAAAGCAAACTGGAATTCAGCTCAAACCCAATCCTGCTCAAAGGATCTGATTGATTTTTATTCCACTAAAAGGAGCTTTTGACAAAAAAAAGTAATCTTTTTGTGAAAGAAAATTCCTTGTAAATGTAGAGGGAACCTTTGAAATCTCATTTTTAGCCATCAAAAATACCATTGTTTTGGGTGCTGGAAATGAAATCTTAAATGAAACTATTCCTTTGAATTGTTTCCTGGATGGAAAAAAAAATCCCAGAAGGTTAAAACCAAAAGAAACAAAAAATTGCCWTTGGGATTTTTGTTTAAAGAAAAAAWTTGCTTGTTTTRAATGGGAGAATCCCTGTTCTTACASAYRTACCCACCCAAACAGCACTTTTCTRCCTGGGAGATTTCTGTGTCAAGTTCCCCCAGTTTTGGAGGTGTTTTCCAACCCTAAYGATTCTGGGATTCTCTCCATGCTGTTTTATTGCTGAGTGCAAAATATTTGGAGCTCTGTGTCCCCTGTCCCACAGGACCAACAGCACCATCCCATGCAAGTTCTGAGGATCATCACAACTGTGATGGTAGATTTTCCCTTTAATATATTAGCAATAAAATCAAACTTCACAATAATTTCATTCACAATCATTTCAAGTTGTGGTGCAGAGGGGATAGGTTGTGATTTTGCAGGAAAGGAGTCACTCACGGGATGCACTTAGGAACAGATTAAATCTCCATTCCAGCCATTTCCAGGGAAATTTCAGTRGGATTGGTGCAAACTGCAGCTTTCCCTGCGTGGAGCAGCCATGGATTGATATTCCTGGGTGAGATCCTGCTCCAACCACAGCCCCAGGGCTGTGTTTTCTGCATCACAAACTCCTGACCTTGCTGCTGCTCGGACAACAACATTCTTCAGTGCTTTTGGCTGGGCTTGAGAGGAGAAATCTGTTGAGTGTGGCCGTGCCAAGGCCATGCTGGAATTTCCTGGTGGCACCAGACCCTGTCCTCCTCTGCCCACGCGTCTCTCCAGCAGGAAAATGAAGTCCAGGCTGTTACAGGATGCTCTGTCCTGTCCAGAGCATTTCCTCCAGCCTGGAAGCAAACAGGTGAGTGCTGAAAGTAGGAGAAAGGAAGGTGTTCAGCCCTTCCTGTGCTTTTCCTGTCTCCCTTGAGTGACAGCAAAAATCCCAAAAATCCCCAAAAAAGTAAGATTTCAAAAGGTTACCCTTCTCAACCTCACGTCTTCCCAAGTTTTCAACACAGCTAAAACCCCAAACACTCTCTTTTCCTCCCATCCTGGTAATTTCCTTTCATGAGTTTTAAAGGMCCRTGGATTTATCTGRAGTTTTATYTGTTCAGTYTGGTCGTAGCTGCCTGGAAATTCTSMAAAAAACCACTGTGTAAAATCATGGAAAAAAACAGTGGCCGTGATTTTTTGTGTGCCACTCCCTGCAGGGAGCTGCAGCCTCCTCAGCCCACAGAAGGAGGATGTGTCCACAATTTGGATGTAATCAAATACAGTCACACTGATATGATGAAATCCATGCAGCTTCTGTCAACAGAGCTTCTGCATGGAGGCAACATCTGTGTAATTCAAATTAAACCCTCAGTGGCTGAATAGTCCCAGTGCAGGGTTTAAATGGAATTTCTGCACGAAGCACAGGTTTTCTGGTGGGTGAGTTTGAATGAGGCTCCTGCTGTTCCCCAGATAAGCACAGGTGGATAAGGACAGAGTGACCAGGAGCCYTGAGGGAGGGGTGGACAGGATCAAAGGGAGGGGTGTGGGTGATGTGATGGGAAAGAGGCACAAAATCAGCAAAACACGCAGCAGTGGCACCTTCAGCACCTGCATGGCAGTGACGAAAAGCCTCTGAGACACCTGGAGAGAACCTTCTCTGCTGCTCCTCATCAAACTGGTGCTCCACACCCTTCCCCAGCTCTGTTCCCWTCCCTGGACACCCTCCAGCCCCTCGATGTCCTTCTTGTCATSAGGTGCCCAAAACAACCCAGGATTTGAGGTGTGGCTCCAGCAGTGCCCAGCACAGGGGGACAGTCACTGGCCAGGATGCCACTGCTTTTCCTGGCCTCCTGGGCACACTGCTGGAAGTTTGGAATCTCAATACTCAGCAGAAACATTCAGCTTGTTGACACAGAGTAGCTCCACATTCTCCTGGCTGAGATCGTTTTAAAGCTCTGTAACTGTTTTACTCTGTTGAGTTTATGTTTAAAAACCAACGAAAATTATTAAGTCTCCCTGTGGATTATTAACATTTCAAG